ACTGGTCTCAAACATCAAAATAGAAACAGGCAAAGAAGCAGAAGTCAAGTCCCCTAGCCAGTGAGCACACATCCTTCCTGCACCAAAAGGAAGGGAAAAGTGTTGTATGGGCAGGAGTGCCCCCCCAAGGTGGTCCCAGGGTGGAGAGGGCTGCAGGAAAAAACATCTCCAGACTCAGAGAGATGGGTGCACTAGCAAGGGCAAAGGGTCTCCCATGATGTCCTGCTTCCCTGATACTCTACCTCCAGCAGCATCCAAGAGCATGGCCAGGGAAAAGGGAGTCTAGCACAAACCTGCAGTGATACATCCTCAAAATAATCTTCCAGCAATCTGCAGCCAGGAGCTTCCTACGCCACAGTTGTTGTTTTCAGTCTGGCCTTTCAAAAACAGGCTTTATGCCACTTTTTTTCCTAGCAGTTTCAAACACGTTCATTTCAACACTAAGTTTTTTAAAGGACAAAAAAAAAAAAATTAATACACACTAGAAGTTGGTGTGTAACTTGAGGCTATTTCAGATCACGCTGGATTTGCCACCCTCTCTCTGGTCCACACATGACTCTTCCACTTGCATGTGGAAGATGCACTCAGCATGTTTTAATCAGCAAATACTGATAGGACATGTACATTTTATTAGACAAGGGTCTCCAATTCATGCAACACATTTCAAGAAAGACAAGTGCTAGAAACTTAGCAACAAAGGCATTCAATGTCAAACAGGTCTAAAAGACTTTTGCAGCTCTGACTCAGAAAAGAACCAGAGCATCCTTTGGGAGGCTGGTCTAAGAGCGTGGCATGATATAAATGTAGAGCAGATAGCCTGGCTTGTGCAAGAAGGACTTCGGTGGAGCTGAACCAAGATCTTGGTGGAGCTGAACCAAGATCTTGGTGGCTCACCCTGAAAAAACAGCCCTCAGCCTTACACTGAGCCTAAATCCCTCAGCTGCACTTTACACCATGTAACACCTTGACTGTTGCAATTACATACCCAGAAATGAAACCACATTGATATGCCAGGCAGCTTGAATCTTCACCTTTCTAACCCTGGGCTATTTTGTTGTTCATACCTAGGCTTCGACTGCAGCTGTGAAATAGGTGGCCCAGCCTTGCGATGTACCAGCAGGTACGTACCCTGTTTTACCCTGTGTAGGAGGAGAGGTGTTTGGATTCCAGCACTGCTAATCCTGCCCTGTCTTACAAAGACAACTGGGGAGAAGGGGACAGAAGCATCTCAAGGGAGAAACCTGCAGACTGCAAACAGCTTGGAAAGAGAGAGCAAGAGTGAGGCAAACCCTTGTGGAACACATAGCTTCATGGCTCAATGAAACAACCCCTCGCCATCACTCCTATTTGCCACATGTGCTACAGATGGGAAAAGATCCTGTGAACTGCCAAAGGTAAGGTAGCATACAACAACTGCAGCACAGCCAGGCACAACCCCTCCACCAGGTTACATACTCCATCCCCAGGCCTGGGATTTCTCTAGTATGGAGGAAAAGGATCCCACAATAAGCAGCTGCCCTTTCTAAGGGCCTTTATCCTCACCGGTAATGTTATGGCCTTTTCCATCACCCCCTGCTCCTCATGCACTAAGCAAGGTCACAGCATGTGCCAGACCTTCCAGCTAGATCCCAGGTTCATAGCCTATACCAGCCACAGCCAACCTGCAAGGCATTTTCTTTCCCATCACGTCTTAGAATGACATTTCTAGTTAGAAACACCTTAAACCATCTATCACAGCAGCATCAAGGCTCTGTCCAGCTCACGCTAGCTATCCTCACAAGCAGAGCTGACCAAATTTCATTCATCTAAGACCCCCATAGCGGTTGAATGAGATGAGTGACTCCGACTCCATGTGCTGCCTAGCTCTTATCACCTAACTTTGGCCCAACCTTTCTTTTCTCTAAAGGAGTTTAAAATGCTTCATTTATCAGCAGTCCTGGTTAACAGGGGAGGTCCCAGATGACTGGAGGTTAACAAATGTGGCAACCATCTACAAGAAGGGTTGGAAGGAAGATCCAGGGAACTACAGGCCTGTCAGCCCGACCTCGGTACCAGGGAAGGTCATGGCGCAGTCCATCCTGAGTGCGCTCACCAGGCATGTGCAGGACAATCAGGGGATCAGGCACAGCCAGCATGGGTTCCTGAAAGGCAGGTCCTGCCTGACCAACCTGATCTCCTTCTATGACCAGGCGACCCGCCTGTGGATGAGGGAAAGGCTGTGGATGTTGTTTACCTGAACTTCAGCAAAGCCTTTGACACTGTCCCTCACAGCATTCTCCTAGAGAAGCTGGCAGCTCATGGCTTAGACAGGTGTACTCTTCACTGGGTAAAAAACTGGCTGGATGGCCAAGCCC